TTCCCTCTGGGTTTTTTCTATAAATTTTGAAATCTTACTAAAGATGATTCGTTGGATGTCGTTATAGAGTTCATGATCAGAGGCTATATGTTCAAGGGTATCAATTCCACTCTATTGGCATTGATACCTAAAAAATCAATGATTAATGCGCTCTCTGATTTTAGGCCTATCAGCTTACTTACAAGTGTTTACAAAATTATTACCAAGGTCCTTGCAGAACGACTCAAAGAAGTCCTTCCTCTCATTATTTCATCTACACAGTGTGCCTTTATTCAGGACGGCCAAATTACTGACAGTGTGTTGTTAGCACAATAATGTATTCACTTACGAGTTCTGAGCAAGATGGCGGGCATCCTACTAAAACTTGATATGGAAAAGGCCTACGATAGAGTGGAGTGGAATGTCGTGCTAGAGATACTCAATAAGATGGGGTTTGGAGCTCATTAGAGAAGCTAGATTTATGGATGCCTATCTTCTGCCCATTTTTCAGTTTTATTCAAAGGTAACCCGATTGGATTTTTTAATGAGACTAGAGGTTTACGTCAAGGCGATCCTCTGTCTCCTTTCTTATTCACAATTTATGTTGAATGTTTCAATATGATGCTTAGCAGAGTGGAGAATACGGGGGCTTTTGCGGGTTTCCAAATTGCAAACTTAGATATATCTGTCTCTCATTTACAGTATGCTAACGACAATTTAATTTTTATTGATGCTGACACAATACAAGTGAGGAATGTGACTAGATTATTGTAAATCTGTGAAGTAACTTTGGGATTAAAAGGTAATTTTCATAAGTCCTTAATGGTGGGGTATCAATTGTAGCGAGTCAATGGTGTGTGATCTGGCTAACATGATGGGTTGTAGAATTGATTTTTTCCCAATTACTTATTTAGGGTTACCGATTTCAGATTCAAAATTATTTATAGCAGTTTGGGATAAGGTGATTGAGAGAGTACAAGTCAAGATTGATCTTTGGAAGTATAAATACTTGTCTTTGGGGGGAAGGGTGATCTTGTTAAGGTCCTGTCTGGCGAATCTTCCTGTGTATCAGATATCGATTGTTCATATGCCAACATCAGTTGCAAAAAGAATCGAGAAGATGATGAGGAACTTCCTATGGGGTTCGAGTGAAGAGAGTAGGAAGTATCATTTAGTAAGGTGGGATAGAGTTTGTACACCTAAGAGTGAAGGTGGTTTGGGGATCCGAAATATGAGGAAGTTTATCCAGGCCTTGTTATGCAAATGGTGGTGGCGTAGTTTACATTTAAATGATTGTCTCTGGTATCAAGTACAATCATCTAAATATGGGATGGATAGGTATAACATGTGGTTAGGGGGTGGTAAAGGAAAGAAGGTATCTTATATGTAGCGGGCCATCTCAAATTGTAGGCCTATGATCACGGGCTATTTTAGATGGAATGTGTGTGGTGGTAGTCAAGTCTTGTTTTGGCACCATAAATGGCTTGGGGAATATCCTCTAAAATCTGTTTTTCCTGACCTTTTTAGGATTGTATGTAGCCCTAATCATAATATTAGTGATGTTGTTGAAATGCGAGGTCAGATGTTCTCATGGGACATCCCCCTTATGTACAGACGTTTGAACAACGTGCTCCTGTCCCAATGGTGCGTATTGATGGAATTGTTGGATAAAGTTTATGTTTATTTAGGGTCGGAAGATATATTGGTTTGGGAGATTGAAAAGGATGGTATGCTTTCTATTAAATTCTGTTATAATCTTTTCTTCCATGACAGATGGAGATGGTCTTCTCTAATATTGTACAAATTTGAAAGTGGCCAATACCACATAAAATATAAGTCTTTATCTAACTAGCCTCGCAAGACAAAATCTTGACCGTTGATAATTTGCAAAAAAAGGTTAAGTTTTTAACTAATGCTTGCTTGCTCTTTAAAAAGGAAGGGGATTTAGTTGACCACCTGTTGATTCATTGTCCCTTTACTCTGAGGATTTGGCAATGGCTAATTGGTGAACTCGGATTCTCACTAGTATTGCCTCAAAGGGTAGTTGGGATAGTCTCGTAATTCGGTATTCCGTCCCTCCCCAAGGTAGGAAGTACGATTTGGAAAATAGCAAAAGGAATGATACTTTAGGAGGTTTGGAATGAGAGAAACAGAAGAACCTCTGAAGATATGGCAATGCTAGTTGATAAGCTTATTCATTTAATTAAGCTTTCAATTTGGTCTTCTCTGTTTGTGGCCAAGCAGGAGTGGGGTATTACTAAGATTGATGTCATGATAAATTTGTCAAACCCTTTCTCTATGGGTTTTAAATCGAACAAGCCTAAAGGATTGTGGCATGCTCCACCTCTAGGCAGTTTTAAGTTAAACTTCGATGTCAGTTCTTTGAGGAATCTGGGACCAACAAGTATAGGGGGCATTGTATGTGATTGTTGTGGGAATGTTTTGTTTACATATGCAAGCCCAATCGGTGTTGCCACGACTAATTATGCGGAACTTGCTGCTTTGCTAAAGGGAGTGGAAAGTTTCACCGGGAGGAATTTTGGTACAAACTTGCTGATTGAAGGGGATTCTTTAAATGCTATCAGATGGTGCAAGAAGGAACAGAGGGTACTGTGGGAATTACGGTCTTTATGGTTACAGATCTTGAATGTGATTGCCAACTTATCCGTTTCTTTTTCCCACATTTATCGAGAAGCAAATAGTATCTTTCTTCTTTTACTATTTCTAATGATGTAATCTATTTTTAGCCTATTAATAAAGAGATTGAATATTAGTCCCAAAAAAAAAAAAGGTCTTTTTATCCTCAAAAGATTACCAAAATTATTAAGGAAATCGTCGCCCTGGGCATGTTTAAAACTCTCCAAGGCTCTGGCCCACTCTATAATAGATTTTAAAATAGCATACCTTCCGGATATGCCACAAAGTTCCTGCCAATTGTTATCCTCCATAAAATCATACCTATCCTATTAGAAGGCATAGAACTCATTTACACAAAAAGTTATGAGATGGTATCCGACATATAACCCAGAGGCACTGTAGTTTAGAGGAAACCCACCTCCATAATGAAGAAGCATAATCACAATGCAACAAGAACAAATGGGCAATAGTTAAAAATTAATTTTTAAAATTGCACCACCAAATTTTTAATTAAAAAAATTATATTTCTTCCTAAACAATAACACACATGGTAAACCATAAGCTAGTGTTAGGCAAACTGGGTCGGTCTTCCTCAAACTGTCATAATAAATAATGCGAATATCACATTTTGAAGGCCAGTCCAAAACCTTATTTCTATAAAAAAAAGTCCCAAACCTTAATCTGTCAAAAAAATCTTCCTGGAGTGTCGGACAATTTTTTTTATGTTGCCTTGATCCTTATTAGCATCTAAAGAGATGGTCATTTGCCACACCGCCCACAAAGCCAAGCTGAACTTTGCCCACAAAATGTGGACTCTCGATCAAGTGATGAGGCTCATGGACCATGTCCTGGATTTTGGGTGCATCTTTTCGGCTTCTTTTTCCATTCACATCAATGGATTGCTACTTCTTTACCTTTCTTGATGGGCCTTTGACATGGGGTCTTCCTTTCTCCTATCTCGTGGGCTTATACACTTCTAGAGCTCAGCCAAGCACATCCCACCTCCAATACACAACTTGGTGTTCTGTGATTCCCACTATCTCTAAGCCTGAGAACCTTTGGCTCTTCATTAGGTGTTTCAAACTCTCCACTAGTTAAAGAGCAAACATGGCAAAAACTGAGTCCATGGGTGTAGGTTTGTGCCTCTCTCCAATATGTCAAAAGCTATGCTAAGCACACCGATTGTACCAAAGACGAGTTACCCATCAAATATTGGGCCACCTGCTCTGCATAGGTAAACCTAGAAAGCCCTCTGGGATGGGTTGTTGAAAAGTTTGAAGAGAGAGTTAGTGCTGCTGCTTTTGTCCTTTGGTTAAGGCAAACTTACCCAATATTCTTAATGAAACCCATTTCAAAAGGTTCCCTACCAAGTGGTTTTCAAAGTCCCCATTTGAAACCTCACATACTCGAGGCCTATTGGAGGGGATGCAAAAAAATTACAACCCCAAGCTTTACTCTGTGGCCTCGAAGTGTTCGACAGAGATTGGAGCTGAACAGAAGAGTGCTCAAATAAAACATATAATTAATTCCTCCCGTTGAAATTCCTTCAGGCACTCACTCGTGCAGAAAGCAAATGTTCTATGGATTCTCTAAACCAAAGCAGGACCCACAAGATGCATTTTCAGTTCAGCCTCCTAAGGAGGCATTTTGCTTACCACACATCCTTTATAACAAACCCCACCTTTTTGCATAACATTTTTGTATTTACACACATAATCCAATGTTTTGTTCAGACTAAGACAAATGAGTTATTTCATCAAAAGGAGTCCTTTACCCTCTCCCCCATGCATCCAACAAGTAGAGCAATTGAATCAAAGAATTGGCCAGGGGGATAAGGCTAGATTGATATCTTTTCTTTTATAAAATATTTTCAACCATCAACCTACCTGCACTTGAGGGGAGAAGTAATATTGAGAAACACGAAACCTTTGGATTCAAAACCAATCTCATCTCATAATAGCATTTTTAAATGAATAATGCACAATTTCATTTCCTCTGCCATTTATAGAAACTTGGCTGCTGGAAAAAGAAATACTGATACCTTATTCTGCAAAGTCATTGTTCCATTGGCTAAGTTTCTAATGAAGCTCTTCAAAATGGGACTGAATACAATAAGACCATCTGCCTTTGGTACAAGAAGGTCATTTTCCCAATCAGATGTTAAATGAGGCAGCTAAGTGAGCCACAAAGTTCTAAAAGAACTTTCTTGGACTTGTAGAACAATGCACCCCAGGCCACCCAACCTCACATCTGACACCTGAAGATTATTGTGACCTTTTGTACCTAAGGTAAATGATCTTTTTGCATTTTTTTTCCTTTCAAATTGTACCATTCATAGATTTCAGTCCTGATCTCCTATAGCCAACACACAATAACGTCTAATAGGAGGAAAATCGCAGTACCACTAGAACTTGCAAAGCACAGACCACTATTTAGAAAATATTTACATACATCCAGTCCACTGTCCCTTTTTTTTTAAATATTGAGAGTGGAAACATGCGCCTGTCCCAAGGAATTCAGTTCACAAACATACTCCATTTCGGAGCTCCAAAATACTTAGAAATCAGCAACCAAACGCACTTTTCCATCTTCAGCCATGTGCCCATGAATCCATCTTTTCAACATCTCCAGAGCAGCCTTGGGCTGATCCATTGGAACCATGTGACCGGCATCATGAACCTGAAAAAACATACTTCATGAGAAACAGAAGGGATGGGGGAGGGGGGGAGGGACAGGTGACAGGTGGAGGAGAGGGACCTTAAGGAAACTTAGATTCCCATAGGTTTTTAATTGTCCTGCTTCTGAGCCATCAACCACGAAAGGAATAGTGGATGACGCAACAAACTGCTGCTGACCTGACCATTCCATGGAATGCACCCATCGCGAATTTCCTAAAAAGAAAGAGCACAACTCTTTCAAATTGTTCCCTAATGAATGTTATACACCAAAATAAAAAATCTCCAAAATATCAGTTTACGAGTACTTCAAATTATGCATTAAATGCCTATCATAGACGAAAAGCAAAAGTTAATCTCCAAAATATCAATTATGAGTGCTAGATTGAACAAGTTGGCTAACAAACACGTCGGAAGGATATATGCAATGTAGGAGACCATGCTTACCAAGCCAATTGCATATAAGGTCATATTCGCCAGCATACACAAGCAACTTGACTCCATCCTCTAGTAGTGCAGGGATACCAACTTCAAGGTTCCTCATCCAGTCTGTAAGCATGGCTTCATAAACAGTGGGGCTACATGACACAAATTGGATATCCCCAACTCCAAGAGCATCCCTAACAGATTTCTTATTTAAAAATTTCTCCATATTCGAGAAATCATAGCAAAGGCTCCCTTCACACTGCTTCCTTATGTCATAGTACTGTTTGAAACCATTGAAGGAAACAAAGATTAGCATTGAACTCCAGAGAATCACACGACAAAGCAATTATAGGCATGATATAAAAGACCACCAGCAATGCTGGTCGGTGATTAGAAATTTTAAGGGCCAACTCGGTTCTCATTCAAGTCAGCCCAGAGACCCTGAGGTTACGGGGGAGAACTTCAGAACCACCCCTCAGCCTACCCTCTTATCTCAATTTTCTTTGTCAAAAAATAACCAGTCCGACTCGGGACACACCCAAGTCGGGCTGGGTCACTTGGGCTTGGGACTCTGGCGACTCCTAACCAAGTCCCATGGCTTTAGAAACTGATGCATACTTACATTTGTTTTTCCGACAATCCCCATGATTGAATTAAAGATGGAGTTGCAAACCAGATATGATGCTAGGCAGGAGATGGTCCCCTGAGTTCCTAAAAAGAACAAACAGACCACATTCAAATACCCATTTCAGGAACCTTCATAGACAGGCATTACTGGGTCACTTAGAAGCCAAATGCACTTTTCAGTTAAGAAAATCTCAACAATCATAAAGCAACATTTTTATGCATGAAATTTGTTTCATCGTATGCAGCCAGAAGCAAGAGATAAGTGCAGATAGTCACAGTAGAAGCAGGTAGCTTCAAGAAATTAAATTAGAAAAGAAATAACGACTTTAACAGAAAATAAAGAACGTAAATATAATAAGCTAGCCAAATCAATGACATGATCATGCAATGAAAAGGACTCTAGGAAAATAAACTACCAACTCAAGGGGATCAGGATATCAGTAAAAGTGGAGCCTATATGGGTGATTACTGTTTTAACATGAAATGGAGTTCATTTGGTCCAACCTCTGCTGCAGTTTCCTTTTGACAACTAGATGCCCCTGTACCACCGAGTAATATATCTCAATGAAATTAAATGTCTGCAAAATATGGTGTAAATGTAATATGATGTCCACATACAAATGTTTGAGAATGAGAATATAGGTTGTGGAATTGCTGCACTGGAGGGGGCTTCTTCTAGTCGAAGCAATGAAAACACTGATTTTTTTTTTAATAAACAGAATGATTTATATGAACGGACAAATTTCTTTTGGAGTTTTGGGCTAGCAAGAAAGTTATTCCTCAAACTTGGAATAATTCTTTCTTCATATGGTTAGAATCGATTTGGAGTCTGGAGTTCAACAATCAGTGGCTTGGATCGATGAATCTAACAAATGCTTCTTCCCCAAACTCTTTTTTCGATAACCAAAAACGTAAAAAGAACTTGAACAAACAAAACATTCCCCAACAGGCAGTCCCTTTCCAAATGATCATAATTTATAACTGCCAATACATCATGATAAGGTACCACCCTTCCTCCTTGATACAGACACAAACAATAACAATTACTAGTACATTATTAGTGCTGCTACTAAAACGCAGAGCCTTCTGCCCTCTTCTGTTTACAGAATTCCAATTCAAAATCGCTGACAACCATTTTCGCTTACTGTATTTAGCACATGATCCTTTTAAAATGTCTTTTTTACATTTGATATCAGATAAATCTTTAGCTCTTTCTTGCTGTGTCTATTACACTTAAGTGGTAGTTATCTCTTACTATTTCTACAAGTTATTACCTCCACGTTCCTTACTAGATGATTGCAAAACGAATAATTATTTCTTTGTTTCTATCTTATCAAGTTGGTAAATGTGCATGGACTTTTCCTCATTGTCTTTTTCTCTTTCTTCCTTTATATAATTAGCAGAACACATGTGCCCGGTGTCAGATATTAAGAAACCACATTGGTATATGAACAAATGTCTAGCACTATAACTTAAACAAAGTCCATCTCAAAAGGATGAATGATTCATAGAAAATAAAATAAAATTACCGCAGAGTTTTATCGCCAATTCACATGCTGGTAGGAACCTATTAATTCTCTTATAGTCGGATTCTTGGATGAGTCCCATTTCAAGAGCATAATCAGTATATGCTCTGTACTGAATGGCAGGGTCTGTGAGTCCATTACCGATTGCAAATCCCTGCAATTTATCTGTTTGTTTTGCTTCAACTCAAGAGAACAAGAAATAACAAAAAAAGCAAAAATTTGTATCCACTGATAAAAGTGACATACCTTCAAATTTATATGAATACCTTCTTTAGCTTTGTTTCCTTGGTGAACACGACTAGCAAATGCCGGAATGTAATGTCCTGCATATGACTCACCAGTAATAAACAAATCATTCTTTGCATACTGAGGATGTTCCTTGAAGAAGGCCTGTTGTAAAAGTACATGAACAAGAAGCAGTATAAGCATAAGTCCTCAATAAATACACAACTCCGAACTTTCCTCTTGTAATCCAAAAGAATGCTGGCAATACTTTGATTTTTAGAACAATGAGGATTTACATGGAGCCTCTCTCTTTCAGAAGTAAATGAGTAAAATTTGATGGAGAAAACAAAAAAAATAAATTGTATAGGAAATTATTGTTGCTTGGATAAGTCAGGTAAAGACAATGAAACTCATATCAGTAAAAATGAGATGCTGATTTAATTAATGCAGAAGGGATATAATTCAAAATGAATACATTCACGAGAATTTAGGTGTAGCACCAATAGGAGATAAGATGAGAAAAAGTAGACTTAGGTGGGCTAGCCATGTACAACACAGACCCAGTACAACACCTGTTAGGAGGTGCGAGTTAGTTCAAGTGGAAGACTCAAAAGGGACAAGGGGTAGGCCCAAAAGGACATGGTTGGAAGTGGTGAGAAAAGGTATGGGAACTTGTCGCCTCACTGAAGGTATGGCCCTTAATAAAACAAAATGACGGATCAGGATTCATGTAGCCGACCCCAACAAAGGCTCTAATGATAGTGATGAGTATTGGTTGTTTTTCTTTTTGTAGAGTGAGATGAGATTATATTCTTGGCAAATCATCCATGGCATAGACCCAAAGGCCCTTACCAGGATATCTCCTTACATTAGGTAAACCCCAGCCACTTTCCCCCCCCCCCCGCTACCTTCCTGGGGTAACCCCTATTAAGCCCTATCCTTAAAAGTTGAATCCCTGGCCAGCCAGAGGGTACAAACTACCCAGTCCCCCACCTAACCAAAATATTATGACCAAGATGAACACAAAATCAGACAGAACATAGGAGTTGACGTCCAGAATCTCCAATATCTAAGAAAAATCCCCTGTTAGACCCCAGGAGAAACCATCAGATATACCATAATCTTGTTTAGCCCATCATAGACAGATATGGATGGCACTACCAGCCCCTGGATCACACCTTGGTCCTCAGGCTACACTGCTGGCATGGTTTTGCAGCCCAGCTCAACACACTCCCTCTCACCTCCTCAAACAAGTATCAAATCCAGTGGAGGTCCCAACTATCAATATGGGAGAAGAAGTTCTAGCAGAAAGCTGGGCCCTCTCAAGATTCTCTCCGGTCGGTTTCTTCCCCCTTCGAGAAATGACACCAGAGGAATCATGGAATGGGGCAGAAACCTATGGAAGCCACCTCAAATTTTTTGCAGACCCTATAGAAGGAGGTGCAGGGTGCTCTTAGTTCAGAAACTTAATAATTCAAATGGGTGAGACTTGAGCTGTGGCCATGGACCCTTCCGTGGGAGCTTCAAGGATTAAGAAAATGTGGATTAATGTAAATGGGATCTCACTGCACGCTTGGCACATCAACATTTTCAAGTTCCAAACATATGGGCAATCCATGGGGGGGTTCCAAGAAGGTGAATGGGAGCTCCTTCGGCTCTCTTCACCTGATCCCAGGTTCCATTGACCAGTTTTCATTCCTGATCCACATCTCTAATGATTACTAGAAGCTCTCTTGAAAACCCAAACTTCAAGAGTGAGGAATACAAGAGTGGCCGCGAGGAGCATAATCCAGACAGCAAGCAAACAGAGGTCTGGAAACAAAACAAACACCGAATTTTGGGGGCCAAAATTGCTGTGGGAGAAAGGATGTCATCTTAAGCAATGCTAACGGAAGAAAGAGGTAGATCCCAAACATACAGCAATCCCAGATGAAAAATCATCATGTCAAGCCAAATTTAAAACTCAAGACGAAAAATATTTGTTCAAAGTTCTGTTGATTCCCACAAGATTCAGTGTATGAATTCAAACAATATTTCATATTCCAGGTCTAATCTAGAAAACCTACCCCTTGGTCTCACCCACATGGTGAAATACCAGGCATCCAGTTTGCAAGATAACAGCATCTCACCCTGCAGTACCCTGCCAAACTCAGAAAATCTTACATGCACCCCTAGAAACCCACTTTATCTTAACATTATATTGTCAACTTTATTCCAAGGGAAAAAAGAAAAGAAAAGAATGGAGTGGAATTATAAAGCTAGAACACAAAAAAGTGATCAGTTAATGGGAAAAAATAGTTCCAATTTTAATTGGCTTCCAACTTATTGGAAATTTCTTATGTATTACTGTACTCCTTTTTCTACACCACAATTATTTCTGATTTCCCATTATCCATGTTGATATATATCTGTCCTCTTTTTTGGAACTAAATTGAACCTGGATCATTCTTATTAGTTTGTTGCGAACGTTGTATGCATATATGAAACATATTTTCAGTTCTGGTGTAGAGAAGATCGCGTATAGTTTGCCATTAGTACGAAGATGTTCAATAGATTTTCTTTCAAAAAAATGATGCGCATGCTAAACATTTGAACATGTCTCGTGACAAGATTCAGTACCTGCAAGAAGTCATATAGATCATCACTGACTCCTTTCTCATTGTGGCGAAGGTCTCTTTTGTCTGTGGTGTAGCTAAAACCAGTTCCAGTTGGTTGGTCGACATATATAAGATTTGACATCTGCAAAAAGAAACGAATAAGATGCCGAATCTTTCTACCACAGGAAAAAGTAAATGAGAGATTATGTCTGAGCAGAGATTCTGATATGAAAGAATCAACATCTACATATTCACATTGCTTTAATATGGAATAAAATTGCTTTAATATGGGATAAAATAAAAAGCATTTGCTATCAGAGAAACATACATATAGAAAGCAATGCAGAAAATAAAGCTGCCTTAGACTCTTAGATAATTCAATGTTAAGGAGCCCACTATTCAATGATGGCATACGGGCACATATAGTTGGAAGTCAGACAAGCATTTACTTCTGTGACTCCTCAATTTCATAGGTCTAAAAAACTTCTAGGTTTTTGGCTTCATTGTCCATGGTCACTACATGTCAATAAGCAAAATTTGTTTAACCATAGAACACCAATTTCTTAATGTTGATTGCTACAGTAATAAAAAATATGCCCAAACAGCATTTCTCAAAGAGTCACCATTTGGTGTCTTATTAGAAATTCTCTTTGCAAGATGCCATGTCATGTCAGGAACAGCAATTTTTAAATAGTTAATACAATAGCATGGAATAACATATATAGATTGAATTGAAGAACACAAGTAAGACTGAAGAAAATTAATCACCATTGTCTACACATAAAACATAAGGATGCCAGAATCAAGTCCATCAAATTAAGCATCAGTTGAAAATGCAGTGGACATTGCTATTCCATTGTGCATCTCTTGACCTTCTAGAATAATAAGCATAAGCATTAAGCCACATCGAAAACAGCTCAAATGATGATGAAACTATAAACCCAACTCAATTGTAAGTGCAAAAATGTTTCCAAAATGAAGACAGTGCCCTAGAACTTGAAAACCGACAAAATAGGTCATAAATTTGAATGACCATTACATTTCGCTCATGTATATGACAAGAAGAACAAAACATTAATACCTTGTCCCAACCATAGTCATTCCACAAAAGGGATAAGTTCTTTGCTATACTGAATGGCCCATTTTCGTAAAAAACCGCTAACTCGCTGCTGCATCCAGGACCTCCAGTCAACCATATGACAATAGGATCGTCCTTGCTACCCCGGGATTCAAAGAAGAAGTAGAACATCCTACAGATAGAAAAGGAAACTATTTTAAAATAAGCAAAAGGAATATGCAATTCATGGCTCAAGAGGTGCTGAAGAAAATAGAAAAGAAAAACAAAAGGCCAAATGTTATGGCCACATTACTATGAAAATGTAGCCCATTTGGACACAAATCGAGGTGAGCAACTCAAAGCGAAACTTTAAAATTTCCATTTAAACCATGTGCAATGCGAATTTCGTGTATTTAAGAATGGAGAAGCTCTATGTTTGCCTTTTCTTTTAATATATATATATATATATATATATATATATATATATAATAAGTTAATAGTAGTAGTATACTATACTAATAC